ATTATTATTATTATTATTATTATTTAGAACAATGTACAACCTTCACAATAAAATAGATAATAAATAAAGAAAAACAAAAATTTAGAACTATTTTTAACTTACAGAACAATACTGCCAAGTACGGTGTTGTTTCGATAAGTTTTTCCATCATTTCATCCGTAACTTCAGGAATCTCGCTATGTTTTTTTTGATGTATAAGCCAACCCAGTAGCTGATCTTCGTTCATAAGGTCACCTATTCATTTCAGAAAAGATAACGTTATTCTTCAATTTTATAAAGAATAAATAATAAACTTTGAATACTGCAATATCGCATGTATATAATATACTAATTCCAAATATTGTTATATTTTAATAATTATAATAGAATCGTCCATATAAATGTATGGTAAATAAAATTACATCGTCCATGTAAAATATCTATTTTTCTTTTTGACTGAAATAAAATATTAATTTGAGAAATACTAACCTTCATAAACGTGAGGTATTTTTTTTTCAAATAATACTAATGTTGGAAATTCATCGATTCCGTATTCTTTAGCTTCATCGGCATCGTCGATTTTAACAAAAGCAATGTTATGCTCGTCGCAGTCATCGTCAATATTCTCTAGTTCAGCTAAAATTTTCATACTCTTCTTTTGATCTTTATCATCTGAAAATTTTAATGAAGATAGAAATAATTTATTAAGTTAGAAATATCTGTTTTGATTATAATTAAAATTTTCACGTAAAAATAGCCTTATGGATGATATCGATTATTAAGCTGTAATATGACATTAATAAATTTACTACTTCTTCGCTCTTTATTTTTACATTCAATGATCTTATATAATGATTTGTATGAATTTTACTATCTCGTTAACGTGTATTATTTATTAAATTAATTTTTCATAGGTATTTGTCATTAATTTTTAAATAATATATTAAACTTCAAATATAGATATAGAGTAGAGAGATATTAATCAATGATTGGATGGTACCAACAGAATAAAACAGCGACGTGGGGCATTTTATCGATGACCATATCTAGCATCTCGTCCGTGATATCTTCTATGTGATCACTTTGTTGCTGGTATTCTAGCCATTTAAGTACCTTCTCTTCATCTTCAAGGTTTCCTTCATAAAGTGTTGGAATACCTTTTTCGAAATATAATAAACTTGGTATTTTCTCGATTCCATATTCCTTCGCTTCATCCGAATTATCGATCTTTACAAAAATTACCCCCATTGTGTCGCATTCATCATCGATATTTTCCAACTCGTTCAAAATTCGTTGTGATTTGCGGTCATTATTGTCATCTGTAAATATTTACGTAAATTGCATATGAACATTTCACAAGATTTCGAGTGAAATTTTACGAAAATAGATCCTTAGGTAATATGAATTTTCTTCTTGAGATTACAAGATATTCTTTTGACAATTTTCTCATTGTAATATGTTGAAAAGCTTCGCTACTTACAGAAAAGTACAGCAAGTGTTTTCCCCTCTTTAACTAGACGATCTAACATTTCGTCAGTAACGTCTTCAATTTCATCCTTTTCTAATTGTGAAAGTAACCATTCTAATATTTCATCTTCATTTTCCAGATCTCCTTTAATTTTAGACAATATTTTGTTTTATTATAAGTTTATATTAATTCAATATAGTTGGCGTAAGTGTAGTATTAACTAACCGTCATACACATTTGGAAGTTGCTTTTCAAAGTAGACAATCGAAGGAATAGAATCAATGCCGAACTCCTTAGCAGCCTTGTGGTCATCAATTTTAACAAATTGAATTCCATGTTTATCACAGTCGTCGTCTATTTTTTCCAATTCTGTAAGTACTTGCATCGAATCCTCATCCCCATGATCATCTGCAATTGAATGAAAAATATTATTGATGTAAATATTGTAATATAATATTATTGTACGATGAATGAAAGGTGACTTGAAAAGTTGGCATGTGAATTTGAACTTGCGAGTGAGTAAATAAATCGAAAGGATGTTTGCACGACAGTTATGAAGAAAAAACCTTGAATACGAACAGAAGAGAACAACCAGATTGTCAATGTTGCCGATCAGGGTATTGAGTGTCTTCGCTGTTACATCCTCAATAACATCTTCTTCGTCGCCTGTACTTTTATTTGCTACCAACCATTCAAGAACGTCTTCTTCTTTACTCAATTCGTCTGTAATAACGTATATATTCTATATGATCTCGTATTATTTTAATAATAATTTTGAATATCAAAGTTATAAATTACGAATTTTATATGCTTATAGTTGTGGTGTGTTCGTAAGTATTAATATAACTAGGTATTAGTATTAATTTCGATAATTAAAATTAATTAGACTAACTTACGCTCATAAACAATGGGAATTTGATGTCTATAGTACACCAGAACGGGAAGTGGTCCGAGATTGTACTCCTCGGCGAGTCGTTCGTCGGCAATCTTGACAAATCCGATGCCAAGCTGATCGGCTTCGTCGTCGATGTTCTCCAGCTCCTGGAGAGCTCTAGCGCACTTTTTACAATCTGGTTTGTCTATCCCATTTCAAATAAAAAATCGAGACATTATTATCACTTGCTTTAATTTCACTTGGTAATTCAATAATATTGTTGCAGAAATCAGCGTCAAATCAAAGATTATTTACTAGAATATCAATTGAATTTTAGCGCGACAGTTTTAGGTTAATAAATTAACAAAACCGAACCATATATTTTTATTATCATAAATTGTTTATTATTCTAAAAAAATTATTGTCACGTCAATGTAAATTTTTTAAATATAATTTTATGTATTTTTATTTAATAATGACATCACGTTACAGTTTGTATATTATCTTTATTCTTGGCATTTCAAGATTAATATATAAAATCAAAGATATGTCTTTCTAATTAAAAATGTTTTACGTATTAATTAATCGAATTAGATATTTAAAAACAATTAATTTTCTTCCTCTGTGAAATTAAGTTTTTATGTAATATTATAAAGCGAAATTAAGAATAGTAGGCGCATTCAAACTTACATATTCGTTTACTTTTTCGATAAAATATATTAGCGCTGATTTCTAAAGTTCTAATAAATATAATTAATAAAGGGGGGAAATATGATGAAAACAAGAATAATGTAATAAATAAGAGTCGTTGAATCATCGTGAAACATTTATAATTTAAAGGCAACTTTAAGCACTTACTTGTTCTTTAAAATTTATCTGATCGATTGTGTGAGAAAAGAGAATTCAATGTACAAAGAATATAAGAAAACTTTTTTTCTTAATATAAATTACCTTTATTTATATTATTCCTCAATTTTACATTTTTAATATGTAGTATATATTTCATATATGTAATATTCGTAATAGTTATTTAATAAATAAATAAATCGAGGAGAAACTTATAATGCTTTGAGCTATTCGAGCTATTACAGTATTGTTTTATAAAAATCAGTATAAATTATTTTAAGCAATGATGAATATAGAGAATTTAAAGAGATCGATATAAGTGCAGGATTTAAAAAATTTCTTTAATAATAAATTATGTGAATGTCTTTTCATTATTAGTCAATGATATTATTTTATTATTGGTACAGCTAACTACCAGCATGCATATGCTTATAAGGATATAATTTGATAGACATGTAAAGAAAACTTTATCGAATAAACAAGTAAATTGAAGGAATAAAGTACATTTAATGTTTTTGAATAGTATTCTCTTTTACAGTTTCCCTTTTCAATATGATTTTTTTTTCATAGCAGTACTTCAAAACATCTACTTATTTAATTTGCTATGCATGTATATTTATACAGGAATTAAGCATTTATTATCACAACCAATATAAGCGATTTTATTATGTATACGTATACTAGGTTAGAGCACATGCTGATCTTATGCTGGCGGTATAATGTTTATAACTGCATGTATGAAGGGAACGATAAGCGATTTCTTAAGCTTCATTAAAAACACATCAATGATTACGCACTGTATATATGTGTATGTAACGCTTCTATCAAACGTTAATAATGTTACATGTTATATACTTACTAAAGTCGGTGCCAGCGCATCTCTGCGATTCCGGACCTAACACCCGCAATGGCGCACACAAAGAAAAACAGTTCACATGTACGTATTATTTACAGGTACGTTCGTGTCTTTGGTATGTATATTGTATTAGACTCGCTTTAGTTGCCTCGCTTCAATCGCAAATAAACATAATTTTTTGTCAAATTAAACGTATAATTATTTAATACAACATTTATTATAGTTGCTTCATAAATAGTTATGCTTTAAACGATTAAAAAAAAAATTCTTATTTCAATTTTAAGTATTAAAATATTTCTAAGTTTCGTATCCTTCAATGGACCAAATGAAAAATCATTTAAAAGAACGAAACTGTATAATTATTTTATATAATAATGATTAAAAGGAAAATAAATAAAGAAAATTACATTGGAAGTAATATATATCATTTGATGTACAATAGACACAAAATTGCGCAATTAAAATATTTTTCAATTATGTAATATTGGTTTAAATTTATAATTTTGCATAATTTTTAATGCTGAAAATTCAAGAAAGTTTATTATTATCAGAGAAAAATAATACATATTTATCTTGTTTAGAATCATAGTGAAGTTATTACAGATTATCAGTGAATGTCTACTAGTATTTAAAGATGTTTCAATCGTAGAGTTAATTATTAAGAAAGTAAGTTTGCATTCGTCATTAGAGATATTTTATTGTAGCATAAGTGTAAGCTTTTTATAAATTTTAACAAACATAGTCATTTACAAATATTAGAGTGCGAATGTGCCATTCTATTTATTGCAAGAAGAGTATTTTTTGTGACAGATTAAAGTATTCCAACATATTTATAGTAGCTTCAAATTAAAAAAAAAAAAAAAAAAAAAAAAACAATGTCAAAAAAAAAAGAAATCGGAAAAATAGAATAAATATACAATAACGTAAAAAATTAGTATTGTAGATATTTTAATGGTGTTATTTATAAAAGATGTTAACTTACAGAAGAGAACGGCAACAAAATCCGTATCTTCGATGATCTTTTGGAGGATCTTTGCGTTAACTTCTTCGATTCGGTCGGGCAAGTCCATCGCTTCCAAACTTGTTAGGAACTCCAACACATTTTCCTCGTCCATCAAGTCACCTGTGCATTACATTATCTATGAAAAAACTATAGCCTTACTTGTATCCTATATGAAATTACATTTTTACACATTACTTTTACTCGATTTCTTATCATTTCTTTTGTATCTATTTTGTTACTCAATATTACAAGATCAGATTTTTAATTCCGAATCGTCGAATTTTCTCTCGAATTAAAATAATTTTAAATGCTGTTATTAAACCAATGAATCACGTGATAGGGACCTTTAGGATATAATTTTCATAAATTTCTCGAATAGCGCCAAGGCCAATGTGCAAGCGAGACCGCAGTGAATTTCGGCGAGCCTCCAATAAATGTTTGGCCGAATGCCGATTTAGCCGGATGCGTTCATAGATTCAGCCCTTCTGTTTCTTTTCTTTTTATTCATTTACTTTCTTTAACTCGGTGTTAATGTGCTCGTAACTCTTTCATGATTTTAATATCTTGTAAAAAAGCTCTAGCCTTTCTCTTTCATTTATGACGTTCAAATCGCAGTCTCTTTCGAGGAGCTTGCGCTATGAATAACTTTGAAATAACATTTCAAATGTTATGTATAGCTTCAAATTTAAATATTCCTAACTGAGATTAATAAATTAAATTTTCTCAGCTTAAGCAATTGGACTTCATATCGAATTGAAAAGTTACTTGCCTTCATAAATAATTGGTTCTTTTTCTCGGAAGTATGTGAGGGCGGGGAAGGTCTTGATGCCATATTGTTTTGCCAATCGTTTATCGTTAATTTTAACAAAGTCCACGCCAAATGTGTCTGTGTCATCATCAATTTTTTCTAGTTCTGCCAATACCTTGTCACATGTTGTACAGCTCCTAGCATCTAGAAGATTTTATTTCACATTATTCGAAAGAAAAATGAAAAGCATAAAAATATTTAGAATACCATATATTGAACTTTATTATTTTGGAATTTTCTATTCGAATAGTACAGGACCACCGATTTCAAGCCGTATATCGGAAAATTTTTTAATAGCAAATATTTATAGTAAATTATGCTTACCATAGTCCAGTTTATTAGTTAAGGGATACGTTAATATTTCAGGGACTATTCACTAATTGTCTTTGTTAAGATTTACCAAATGGATAAATGTATCATAAATTATAGTAAATAAGGAAATATTCATTGTTACGTAGCAATTTATGATTAGAAAGATCTCGCAAATGCTTATAAATTTAATTTCTAAAAGAATTTAAAATTTGGATTGAATTAAAAAAATTTTTCCTTTACATCATAATAGAATTTCTTTTTTATAACCTTGTTAAAAAGTAACTTAACACTATAAACTCTAAAATGATAGTTATAATTATAATTGTAGTTAATAATAATGATGTTGGAGGCATTCGTTAAAAATATTATTTTCAAGGAATTTACGTATTAAAGAAGTGTAGTGAAAATTTTATTTAGCTTATTTATAATTCATTTTTATCTGTAAGTCGTTCATTATTTTTCTTTTAATGTTCATAATAACCAAGGATTAATAACATGTGAATAATATGTTAAATAGCATAAATTTATTGATTACCTTAAACAAGAAATCACATGAACTATTATATATTTTTAGTAAAAAATATATACGTTACTCAGAAATGTGTTTTAACAAAAATATATTTGTATCATAATTTTACTGCCTTTAAAGTTGTTATATACAATACTGTAAAACAAGCCAACTAAGTTTGTAAAACTACATTTCTAATTGTTAATAATTTCATAAATATATATTTTGCAATGGTAGCTTAAAACTGAAATTACTTTATAACATTAAGATCAAATTAAGACTGATTAAAAATAATTAGTTATTAAGAAGCAATTTGTAGTAAAAATAATAAAAATGTATACATAAAATGTATAGAATATGATTATTTGTAAGTCCATGTTGTATTATCTATAGTATTACTTTATTGCCACGTGCATTCTGATCTTTGTCTACTCTGTCCTTCTCTCCCCCACCTCCCTATGTCATACTACGAGAGTATATTTGTGAGCTAAATATACTGATCGTTTAATGTTGGGTGTTCTCAAGTATAATCTTAAACACATTCATTCTCGTGGTGGTCATCCCAACATTACGTAAGAAAGAAACAAGAACGAAATAATAGCAAACTACATTGGAAGAAAGAAAAAAGTATTTGTTCTCAATTATTGTTATCTAGAAATGTCCATATTAATAATCATTAAAATTAAATAGATAATACAGTTATAATGGTTTAGTATTTATTTAAAGCAACGATTTTTTAAAACATATCTTAATCTTATTCATTTCATTTCCATTTATAGTTATTATTCTACTTCAATCATAAATACCAATATTTATGTTTGAGAGCTTCTCATGTCCGTTTTTTAATATAATTTTATTAATATATATTATCTTCAGTTCAATTTAAATAAATAAATATATATATATATATATATATATATATATATTGTGTGCGTGTGTGTGTATGCGTGCGCGCGCGCGTGCGTGTATGTGCGTGTATATTTATTTAAGTAAAAAGAAATATTTATTTTTGTTTGGAATTTTACTGTGTTTGTATGACCTACTTTAGCTATTTAATTTATTTTTAGAGAATTTTTTTTATTTTTTAAAATTTGTATTTTAAAAATCTATATTATTTAAACGGATGTAAATATATTTATAGCACCATGTAATTCAATTTATTGGAAAAAGAACAAATATTCTATGGTTTGGAATAATAATAAATATATATTAAAATTAAATGTTGATATATGAAGAGAGCGCAAGCACTTTTGTAATTAATCAATATGTACAAAATTTTGGAATCTTTTAAAATCGTTAAATTTATTTGTAATTATAAAGTAATGAAGTTTTGATATTTCCTTAATTTTATCGTTCATTTATTTATAAATAATAATTCTATTTTAAATATTTCTATAAATACAATTATATCCAAGGAATAAAAAGAGTATAAATTTTAAATATCAAATTTAAATTGAACATTACTTGAAAATATGAATCCTTATTATAAATTAAAAATATCTATACAATAAAATTTATAGCAATACTAAATATAAATTATTTAATTGAAAGAAGTAACTTTAAGAATACAATAACTATATTTATACTTTGACATATTATTTGAAAGATACACTTGTCTTACTTGAGATCACTATAACTAATAAACAATGCGTCATTGAAATTCTTGGCACTGTAAAAGTACATCGTAATAAATTGATTTGAATAAAAATTGTTTACAAAATAGCATTAACTCTTTTTTAATGACAGTTTAAAAAATGATACGTTGTGCAATAATTTATATTAAGTTAGGTAGAAATATGTCGTTAATAGTGAGTCCTTTTTAAAATATATCTCTATATTATTATTTCATGAATAATTATTACCGTCTTAAATTCTGCTAAATTCTCACAAATATTATGTACCATAGTAATTCAAATGCATATTATCGAGCAATATGAAAGAGTCAGTGTCGTACTACTATGTACATATGCTCATTACATGTGCATAATGTAGCATTGAAAAGAAAGTATTAGAAATGCAAGGTAGTAATTTAAGAATGTTTGAATAAAAATGTATCTTCCCGATGTTTTTCTTTAAATCCTTTCAATAACAGATGCTCACATAAATTCATAATAAATGTAAAAGTTTCCCTGATAAATCATAGAATTCTACAATTTCTTTTTTTAAAACAAGAAATTGAAAATGTGCTTGCTTATGTTAAAACTCATAGGGAGTGATGTACACTGACTACTCATAACCATTGGCTCACATCGCGTTGGCTGTGATATTTTGCTAACGGCTCCAATGGCGGAACGCCTGTGACCGTGACGCAAACGAGCGTAAAGTGAACCAGCAAAACAATCATCCAACAAGCAACGGCGATGAGATGCTGTGTTTGCGGGGGTGGATGACGAAATAAAGAGGGGAAGAGAGAGGTAGAAAGAAACAGAGAATGAAGAGTGAACATCAACCCCGAAGAAAACTGCGTTTTATTTTTATTCCTAGGGACTGCAGCTTCATAATTGGATTTTCACTCGATCTTTGTATTTTTCAATATTATTGGAGAGCTTCCCACTAATTTTTTGCGTAAAATTTTTTTTAGCATCCTACGAATAGAATTTTATTCTTCAATGAATTCATATATTCAGAATAATTTTATAGTTCATTTAAATTATAGATAAAATATTTTTAGTTTTATTTCTTTGAAAGATTTATGACAGTATTTCTATAATATAAGACTATACTAATATATAATATGAATTCTTTGAAGAATAAAATTCTATTTGTAGGACTTTAAAAATCAAAAATAGTTGAAGAGCTATCTAATATATCCGACTGCTTATCTATCTGTAATGTTTACACTAATTTTATTTTTAAAAAATACTTGATTTTTTAATGTTTGATAATGCATATTCTATTTACACTCTATATGATGAAAAATACAAATGTATAAAAAAATTATTAATAATTATTAGTCAATGAAAGTATTATTTTCTCGAAGAAAGTGTTTCTAAACATCTATATCTATACACATACATACATTCTCTCTTACACTTGAAAGAAATTGTGTAATTGGCACTTTTATTTTTCTATTATAGCTAATAAATATTCTAATATATTTATTATAGCCTCTATTGTACAAATATTCAAGTTGAAAATTAATTTGAATTATTATAGTTTTATATTAAATCGTGGATATTTTAAAAATGTCTAACATAAAAACTATTAAGCTTTAAGTAAAAGTAGTTTTAAAACTTTGCAAGATAAAAAAGTAATATAATCAAATAATGTAAAAATTGATGAGTAACTGCAAACTTATAAAATAGTCAGCATAGTATGTATATGGTTTTGATATGCGTCGTATAATCTGTAAAATCGATTTAACAATTTGTATTGACTATATTTCATTATTTACTATATATATATATATATATATATATATATATATATATATATATATATATATATATATATATATATATATATATATATATATATATATATATATATATATATATATAATTATTACAGGTGCATAATTGTTTTAACGTGAATTACCAATTTATTCGAAGAGAATTATTACACATTATAATTTAGACTTATTTTTGATACTTTTATATAATATACTTAATATAAATTAATAAAATACTATGACATATATATAATAACAAAATGAGACGTAGTTTTTGTGAGATTATAGATTTTTATTATAGTCTGAATCAAAATTATTTGCGCATTATTTTGATGAATTAATTTTTATTAATGATTACTAGAAAGCAATTAAATTTCTTATGAGTAGCAATATTCTTTGTAATTTCTTTAAAAACATTTGATATTTATATAGGATTTTCATTTTCTAAAAAGCAATACTTAATTGTTAATACTTAATTGCTTATATAGATTAATAATTGAAAAGTTTTACTTCTAATCTCAAATACTGATGTAATGCAAAACATTGATAAATATTGTGTGTCAAAAAACAACGGGACTGTTGCTATATAAAATTGAATGTTCCATTAAGTTTAATGGTTTTATATACTTGTACTTTTAAATGTTAAGTAAAAATTAAAATTAAGTATTTTATTTATACATAAAGGAACGTTTGCTTATAATGTAAACAAATTTTTACGATACTAGATTCATTGCCTAAAGTGGATAAGATGAAGCGATGATGATTGGGTGAACTAAATAAATCTGATAGAAAAAAAGGACAAATATTTAATAAGTAATCAACCAATATGTAAAATCATATTTATTAAAACAATATAGTTAGGAAATATAACCACTAAATATTGTCTTTAAAGAACGATGTTAAAATTTCCATTTCTTCAATTATCTAATAAAC